GGGTGTCGGGGTGTCGGGGTGTCGGGGGGCTGGGCCGGAGGCAAGGAAGGCCCTCGCGCTCGTCCACACCCGCGTCTGCGTTCGATGTTGGACGATCGGCTAGCCCTACCCCCCCGATGCCGATCCGGACGAAGCAGGAGAGGCGCCAGGAGCGGAGGGAGCAAACTGTTCAAACCCCGTTCACTTGTCACCTCCGGGGACATCGATCTTCACGGGGACGAGGCGAGGTGGCTGGCGGCTCTCACACTGGGTCTCCTCTGCTATCAAAGCAGCGTTTTGTCACGGGTTGAACCAGGCGACGAGGGCTTCGCTTCCAAATGCTCATATTTTAAGAGTCATTACGTCACTGGAAATTTTTTTTCTGGCCGATTTATGATACCATTACTTCAAATACTGAATTCTTATTCATCCACTTTCAAACGCTATTGAGTAGCTACCACGTTTCTGGTGCTATGTTGGGCGTGCAGGATACAAAACGATTGAAAGCAAAATCCTGAGTCTTATGGAGCTCGTGAGCTGTGGCAGAGATGCGCACGGTCACACGCGACGATGGCCCGCGAGATGCTAGGGAGCGTGGGCCTCCGCAAGCTGGATGAGCCACTGTCTACGTTTCTTTCCTGGTGTTTTGGGGGGTCGTACAGCAGAGTGCACGGTTTCAGGTCAGACGCTCTGCTGCGTTTCTGTCGTGTGATGTCGGGGCAGAATGCCTAGTCTCCCATTATGGATTTCCTCACTTGTAAAATGAGGAAAATAATAGCGCTTTATTTATGCATTGTTTCGAGGATGAAATGTGATCATGTATATGACGATATTATCATGTCTTATTTATAGTAAGAATGATAGGTAACCGTTAGCCGTTATTCCTGCAATTGAGGGTTCAGAGACTGTAGAAGTAGAATTAGGGTCACTGGGAAGGGCGGCTTGGAGGTGCCCGGCAATCTGGGTGTTTGTCGAGGAGGAGATGCTTCTCAGTCAGCATTTCTTGAGCGTGATATGGCTGGAGGTGCAGGTACTGGGACTAGTCTGACAAAAGACTTAACTCCATAAGCCCTGCCCAGTCCTCGAATTGCCCATGGGAGGAGGAGGGAGCAGAGAAGTCAACCAGCAATTACAACACCGCGTGACCAATGCTGAGTTAGTGACGTGTTGGATGTTTGGGAAATTTGGAGGAAGGTCACCTAACTTAGGTGCCGTGGGTGTTGGTGGTGGGAGTGAGCTATTGAGAAGACTTTCTGGAGAGATGACATTTGAACCGTATCTTGAAATATACAGTAGAGCAAGGGTTCCCAACCCCTGAGCCGCAGATCGGTACCGGTCCGTGGCCTGTTAGGAACCGGGCTGCACAGCAGGTGAGCGGTGGGCAAGCGAGCAAAGTTTCATCTGTATCTGCAGCTACTCCCCAGCGCCGGCATCACCACCTCAGCTCCACCTCAGATCATCAGCTGTTAGTTGCTCGTAGGAGCCCCGGTCCCTGGTGCCACAAAGGTTGGGGACCGCTGCAGTAGAGGTAAGGGCTTTTCATGAGATGAAAAGTCTTTTGAAAAGACAAAGTGAAAGCACACGGCATCTTTTAGGGACTTCAAAATCCAGGTGTATGTGGGACATGAGGAGAACAGGGCTGGAGAAGGAGGCAGGGGCCACCTCACGAGGCATCTTGGATGTCACACTGAGGAAATTCGAACATTGTACTGAGGGCTACAGGTGGCCGATGGTTTAAGTTTAGGAAGGTCGCCTGGTAGCCATGCTGAGTGCACGTCGGGGCGGAGAGGGAATCCAGCAGCAGAGCATCGCTGTTATCTTAGCAAAAGTGAGACGATTCCCAAACTGAAGGCTTAGTGGGGGACAGAGAGCAGGGGGCACTAAGAGCTTTAGAAAGCTTTGTGGGGAGATTTAAGATACAACTGTGTGTGAGGATCAAGGAAGAAAGTGGGAAGTGAATGATGGCCATCTCCGAAAATACGAAATGCCTGGGAAGAAGCCCATCGGTGGGGAGCGATGGCTATGGGGGAACGGGGGTCGTCAGGTGCAACTTATAAAAGAGGAGACTAAGAATGATGCCCCGAGTGACGGTCAAGTGGGGACATCTGGCCGGCAGCTGGGTAGACAGGTTTGGATCTCTGGAGAGAGATCTGGGCCGGAGATAGATGGTTTTTTTTCCCCCCATCATTCGCATGTGGATGGGAGCTGAATCCATAGTTTAAATGAAGTTACTTAGAGGAAATTTATAGAGAAGCACAGAGATCAGAAGATGTAAGCCCGGAAGCATGAGTATGAACAGGTCAGGAAGAAGGGGAGGGGTCTTCCTCTGAAGAGATGAGAAGAAACAGCTGGGGAAGTGGGGAAATGCACAGATCTTAAGGATTCGATTCAAGGAGTGGAACCTGTGTAACCAACACCCTCATCCAAATGAAACGTTTCCGTCACCTCGGAGAGTTCCTCTGGGACCTGTTTTAGCCGATCTCTGCTCCCGGTGGGCAACTGCTGCTCTCATTTCTAAGAGGTGACTCTTGTTTGTTTTTGAATTTCATATAAATGGACTCATGCAGTACGTAAACTTGGCTTTTTCGTTCAGCACAATGTGTTTTAGATTTATTCATGTTGTTCATGGATTAGCAAATCATTCTGTTCTATTGCTTAATAGCATTATGATATGAATAGATCGCAATTTGTTTATGCATTCTTCTATTGATGGACATTTAGGTTGTTATAAGCAAGTAATGTTGCCCAAATCATTCTCGTTTAAGCATTTTTGGTGGCACATGTTTTCATTTATTTTAGGCAAATACCCAGGGGTGAAAATGCCGAATCATAAAGCAGGTATAACTCGACTTTATTAGAAACAGCTTTCCAAAGTAATTGGACCGTTTCCGGGCCCACTGGTCACGTGTAGGAGTTCCAATCGCTCCACCTCTTCAGTTCTTGACATTTGTTTTCAATCTTTTAAATTCCACCCATTCTAATGGGTGTGAAGTGATATCTCATTCAGGATTTAATTTGCATAACTAATAACTGATAATACCGAACACCTTTTCAGATGCTACAGTTGCATATCTTCATACGTTGAGTGTCTGTTTTAGACCGTTGCCCATTTTCGTTGCTAGGTCTATGAACACGTGTTGAGGGAAAGTGATATGTATTGGCACCATGTATGTTGAAGGCGAATAATATTTACTGACACATTCTAAACGAGCTTACCATAGAACTGTTCGTGCATGACTGAAATATGGACAAAAGCCTTGCGTATATGTTGGATAACTTTAAAACCGAAAATATAAAAATTAAATAACTTTATATAACAATAACCTTAAATTTAAAGAACGTTAAATTACGCCTTATCCGTTGTGTTGCTTACACCGCACGCTCTTTGAAGGTGGAAAGGAGTCTTCTCCAGAGACTAAAGAGAGAACTTTATGGTGAGAAAGGAAAGAAAACCCAGGCCACTGACTCGGTTTGCCTGGGATGGAGCCAGGAACCAAACCGTTCTACCGCGCATGCTGACGTGAGGATTTCTGTTTCCGTGTTTAGCAGTAGCTGCTGTCAGAAATACAGCAAATGCTGACACGTGGACGATTTTCGAGATTGCAGCGGGAGCACAAGCATTGTGTGGGAGGTCTGCATGCTAGAGCCGGCTTGGACGATTGACTGCAAGCGCTGGCGTGGGCATCTTTTCACCTGGCACATAGCTCTAGTGCTTTGGGGGCCTCTAAATCATTCTTGTGTTTTTGTTATTTTTATGCAGATGTCTAGAACCCATTTCAGATTCCAGTGCGTCAGGCTAGTTGTGGGTGGCGCCGGCCTGCGTCTTTTCGAAAATAAGCTTCCAGGTGATTGTGATGGACGCCTTCAATGCGTACCTGTGGCTCACAGGCACACGTGACTTCAGGGCCCTCGGACAGGCCAACCTCCCATTAGGAATTGATGGAGCTGGTGTAGATACTACACTGACGTTTCACTAAAAAGCCATAAGGGACAAGGCGAGAGGAATAAGGGTCCAGGCAGCGCCAGTGGAGAGTGACCACATTGTCCACAGTGTGCACGGCGC